GGGTTGTATACGTGAATACGTTATTATGCAGAAACCATAGTTATTTGTATGTCTGTCTTTCTGTCCTCAGGGGTAAGAGCTCGTACATTGTGTAAAGCAATATCATTACAACTGTAGGGCGTTTTCATTAAAATAGTTAATATTCTAGACTGCAGTCTATACATTTATTATTTTCAGTCAGGTTTTGGATAGTCAAATACATATTTGATCTGCATTCATACCAAGTAAGACTTCCACAATGACAATAAGCTTATCGTCAGTTCGTGCTACTTTCATCGTAATTGAAACTGTCTGGTCCTTGCATCTGACCCACATTTCGGAGGAATGCGTCTCTAATCTTCATCTGGAGACCGGCTAACTTTTGTTTTCTGTGGTTTTATTTGGCCTAGCCAAGGAGATACAGGAATTTTTTAAAATGTGTTAAGACTTCTATTATTATATTTTGTCTGCCCCTCATCATGCACCGATTTTTAACATTGCTATTAATAATACGTCGCTGCATAAATTAAATCTCGAATATTTCTTTCATAACTGTTTTAAATTGTTCCTTTCAGATGTGGATGCCACTTCCCAGATCGGTCCCGACCCTACGGCCACACAGCCATATTTCGCCACAGTTGGCCAGTCTTACCGCGTAAAAACACACGACACAGTGGTATTGCCGTGCGAGGTTATCAACCCTGGTAAGTACCAAATTATATTTGTATTTTCACTCATACACACAAATATATACGTTCTGTTCTAGTTGCGATAAAATTACTACAGGATCCGACAGATAAGACTGACGTCTTTATATTGAGTAGTATAATATAATGTAGGGAGTGCAGACGTTTATAGAATGTACTCTGTCAAGAATTTAAAGTGGCACTCCAGCCCGTAACCAGTCATTATATTAACTAGGGTCACGCGAGAAAATATAGTAACAGTGATCGGAAAGTTAAGAACATACATTAATTAGTAAAATTTATTTGAAACAGCATCTTTAAACGAAAGCTTAAATAACCCGTAATAGAGACAATATTAACGATGAAATATAGGAGAGTGAAGAAGATGCAAATAGATCAGAGACACAACGAAATGATAAAGGGGAAGCAAGATGCTTCTTGTCACTAAAAGTGGTTGACATCCGCTGTTGTAATTATGTGTATGATAGACGTTACTATGTCGTATACATTAATGTAAATTTCTCTGTTATTTAATATTTTAGTGGTTAAAATGCGTTCTTTAGTTTTTTGTTCTTATATTCACTCAGTCTATGGTCTGAGCTGAGTGAGACGCCCGACTTTCACACCTAGATAACACATTTTATGTAGATTAATTTTCAAGTCAGAAGAGAGTAAAGGCAGGAGAATGAGGTTTTTACGGCGGAAGGAGATGATG